CTTAACATATCAGTTGTGCTGCTTATGAACGAGCGTTTAATAAGATTGGCTGAGCCCCGTTTTAGGAGCGTTCGAAATTTGGAATATTAAAACGAATCCGAAATCACACACACTATCATTGTTGTTCGAAAAATCGCCAACTGAAACTTTTCTCTCAGAAATCTTTTTACAAATGGACTTACGGAAAGTCTTTCTGTTAACTTTACACCATCGAGACCTATTAAGCATCAACATCAAGATTATTAATCACGATCAGTTACTCTGATTAATGCGAATCCGGAGAATTAACCAATTGCTCAATGGCTATTTTCGATTCCAGTTATGTACATCTGGATGGGAATTAGTAAGCAGTGGCTTTGCACAGTTGCTGAATGATGCTCAGTCCAGAATCACTTCGCTGGATACGACGGCTGGCGTTGATCAAGAGTTCTTCTCACAATTCACTATCAACGAACTCTTCAACGACGTTCATCTTTCCAAACGATTCACCGTTCTTATCAATAAGCTCTCACCGAACTTAACCACACTTACCGTCAATGCAGCCGTCTTTTCAAAAAGTTTGCTAATGAAATTTTTCGGCAATATTTTCCTTATCTAAAGATTTCTTTGTCCACTAAATAACTCGCTTCATTCACAGGATCATGGTTCTACTGTAAAAGAAACAATTCTCTTGCTCATCACTAGATAACTTGTGAAGAATTACTAGATAACTGTTCCAGTCAGAGTTACCTCCTCAAAACAACCACGATACTTCTGTGAACCGTTATATAATATTTCACTTCCATGGACTGTAGTAAGCGGAAAATGAATTGAACATTTTCAGTGTTGCAAAACATCAACAATGGATCATTACTATTCCCTTACCTGCGTTCACTACATATTTGTGTTGGTAACCAGTGTGGATCGTTATCGTCGCAGGTTTCTTGTGCTCAGTCGAGGTGATTTTGTCAGTATTGCAATATCATTTGATATCGCTTTTGAGCAGATGTTTTGATGTTTGCTTCACTGTGTAATACTGCTACTTTGAGAAGATATAATGTAAGGAACTTGGAGAATAAATTGAGGATTCTGTGATGAACAATTACTCACAAATGGCGAATACAAGCAAATATGTGTAAGAATCTTGCTATTCTCTAAATTCCAACATGCATTTGTCGAATTTTTTTCCGAAATGAATAGTTCCTTGTTGCGACTCGAATGAGATTAATTACTTTGAATGAGTTGGAAAGGAACATTTTTCATTGTTTCTTTATGAATTTGGTACTGATGCCCTTTTTATCGGTCGATGACTGTGAATATTAAGTGTGAAGTGTGTGCACGTGAATTGGTACATCACTTTTGAGAGGATTTTGGAAATTGATTACACAGCAATTGAGCTGAAAAAGTGTAGTATGAAGTGGTGAAATGACGAGGAATAATTCCAATTGTATGAAAAAATTGCTGACGTTTCTGAATCTAAACAGTGAAATTTTTTTGCTTCAGATGGTTAGCAGCCGAGCTGAAATCTGTTAAGGTGACAGTGAACCTTTCGGAGAAGAGTCCATCAGAAATAACATGTTGCGATTTCAAAACGCTTCTCAAGTTACTGTCGCAAATCATCGGTTCAGCAGGTTCCAATTCTATACCTTTACTAATTTCTGATTGATTTCTACTTCAATTTCGATCACTCTGTAAAGCCTATCCTGAAATCCAATTTCGAACATTTACGTAACAAATTTGTGAATCGCATTCACTTTCAATTGCTCATATTAGCCAGAAAACAGGGTAATGTGCAAATATGATTTGAGGTACTTGGTCATTATGTCTGAAAGATGCGACTCAGCGAGCTCAAGGATGGTTCTCACCAGCTGAGTTATCGCAAAATCGTCATACATCATTCGTCAGCTATGTTCGTGCTGCACTCGATACGGGTGTTGCACTGCACTCGTTGGAACTTTTTGATGAGTTGAAAATGTCACCGTATATGATCGTTATGCAAAAACAACGTCGGTTGCTCTATATGTACGATGAATTTAAGGTGAAATCCCGAATAATGTTTACTATTCAAAAATTCTAAGATACTGTTCAAGAATTTTTAGAGTCAATGAAGTATTGCACTGAGAAATTATCTTGAAACTTACAAATTATCTTCATTATCTTCAAATTTCTTTGCGACTAACCAAATTACATTAACGTTCTCAGAATATATTTGTAGTTTATGAGGATTTGTTGTGGCTATCACTAAATCATAGATTCCAAAATACTTTTCCATTCCCATGAATTTGTTCGCAACGATTCGCTTCATTGTATAAAGTGCCAGCGATCTTGCCTGATCTTTATCATTCGCGATCATAAGATCTGTATATCAGGCGAATGCTTGTAATTTTCAGAAATGTGAACGTCTCGTGATAGGTTACGATATCGGCATCGTGGCACCATCGTTCCATGCTCAGCAATCCACATATTCACAGTTGAAATTCGTCGAGTTGGTGGCATCGCATGTGCTCTGCAAGAAGGATTTCGTCGTTTACCTTTCGGATGCAAGAAGTTAGCTTTCTTTTTCAATCGCTTTTCGAATAGATTCTGATATTCATTGAAAGTAATAATGCTGACTAGACTTTCATGCCACTTTCAATTCATTTTATAAATGCAGAGGTTCGAGCTTGTCGCTGGATGAAATTATGACTGAATAATAGCCGAAGTACACTGATAGTTTACTGTGTCTTGTTTTGTGGTATTGTATTTATCCATTCACAAATTCTTCATTACCTTTTGAACATTAATAAACAAACAGCACAGTTATTTGAAGAAACCATTCGATTATCTTAAAGAAAGGATTATCTTCTTTAAGATTTGCAATTACTTCGCATACTGCAACCACCACATTGGGTGGAACGTGTGAAGCGTTGTACGTATGGATGTTT